AAGATTAATTTTCACCCTTTGAGGGTAGGTTCCATTTTGGAAGCAGCTCAAGATATCTGCTAAATGGGTCATATGACAAAGCCTGGTAATTTCCTTTAGGATTGAAAGAAGAGGTGAACCTGGAAAGGAAAGAGCAGGGGCAATCTCAGGAAGCAGAACTAGCTAGCCTCCCAGCTGGGTAACACCCCCACAAGACACCTGGGTGCATTTGGTGAGTGTCCTATCTTCGTAGGGCTCACATGTTATATTGGGTTGGTATTCATCTTTTTATTGGCTTGACTTCTTCAGAGTGGCCCACCTGATCACTGGAAGGAGCTGGCCTGCAACTGCTGTAGACCTTAGGTCTGCTATGGTGGGCATTTATTATTTCAGGACTTTTTAATACTATTGTCAAATTGAGAAAATTTCCAGACTTATGAGCCCAACCTCCCAAAGGTAGAATCCAGAAAAGTCAAATTTCCAGCCTCCCTTTCAGCTAGAACACAGCCATCCCAAGAGACTCTTGAGAGACTTTGATTCAGAAGTGAGCAACTTGAGGAAAGAGACTGCGTGTGGGATCTGATTTTCTGGCGAGAATGGCAGGCAAGTCATCTGCTTTCAAAAATGGTAATTGTAAAGTTGGCCCAGAAAAGACATCAGTGGACTGGGAGCAGCAGTAATCCAAAGCTTCCTCATCAGTTCCACAGCATAATATGGCTTGAGACAGCTTTTCTGGTTTCTCCAGCCTCACAATAATTCTACGAGCTACACAATATCTTTTTCCTAAATTCCTTTTCTGATTTATCAACCAAATTATCTTCTGTTGCTAGCAACTAAAAAATCCGACTAATGTAAAAATGGGCACCGGAGGGTATGACAATCAACAGAACCTCAAGGAAATGGGGATTACCTGGAATTGGTTATCTGGTCTGGCAGGGGCTGATGGCTCTGAATATCCAGAAGCCTTAGGGGTGGGGCTCTGGCAGCCAATGATGTACCTGTCGTTACCTGGAATGAAATGCTTACCGTAGGCAAGCTTTGGGGATATCTAGTGGCCACTCTCATAAAATAATATGAAGGCGATGAGACATCAAAGACTGTGGGGTGAGTTGCTTCCATTTCTAGGAACCCAAAACATCCAAATGACCTTGGTTCCACTCAAGTTGCATGACCCTTGCAGGTCCTTTTGAGGTCAGGACTTGGAATACTTTTGCAAGTCTATTCTAAGCTCATTCAGGCCCATTCTCAAACCTCTCCCTTGGAATCTAAAAGGCCACATGACCTTGTAGACTGGATTCCTCTGGGTGATCAGATTTCCTCCCCTTCCACCTCCTTTCCTCCCTCTATTTATGACAAGTTACAGTCACCAGGAAAAATGATAAGACATTTATTGAGTCATCTACAGCAGTTTGACATCCTTAAAATCCCGGACAGGTTGTGAGCACAGCATTGATGGCGGCAGCAGTAGCAGTGAGGTCTGTGGAGCTTATCTTTACGGTGGGAGATGAAGCCCAGGCAGGCCTGGCTCCCACAAGCGAGCCTGGGGCTTCCCCACTCCAGCCCTCACGGAGGCAAAGCTACAGAAAACAGGCATAAGACAAGACACACGTGGCCAAGCAGACATGTCCCAGGACCTCAAGTTCAGGGAAAAGAGAAGGAATGGGCACATGGCCCACTTGAAGGATGTCCCAGATCCTTGAAGGATTCCCATGGGGGTGGCATGGAAACGCTGACATCACCCACGTGGAAGCCTCCCCATCTTAACTGCAAGAACTAACTAATCAGCTGACGGAGATAAACCTGGAATTCTGCATCCATCAGAGCCCCCTGGCCTCCCTCGTGCCCCCAGTGCTGGTGGTTTTACAAATGGGGCAAAGGTTAACCCAGGAAGGCTCAAAGCAGTTGACAAACAGCACAGAGTCCCTTTCAGAGGCCTTCACCCCAGTAACCAGCCGACACTCGTATAGTTTCCAAAGCCCTTTCACACACAAAGGCATCTCCCTTCAACCTCATCTCTGTGGGGCAGGCCACCAATCGTGTCTTCTCATTTCTCTAGATTAGGAAGCAGAGGCGCAGAGAGGTTCAGCCTTGTAGCACAGAGCAGGTGGCGAGGCCCAGGCTAGAACGCAGGTCACCCCGCGCCACACTGACTCCACTGCTCCTCTGCAGGCAGGAGTCCTAACGACTTCTGTAGCCAGAACCCCTCTCCTGCGCAAGGCTGAATGTTTTCCGTATGGAAGCTTTATTGCGAGTCTCCTTCTGGCTCATGTGCAGGGCTGGGCACACAGTGGTGGGCTCACTTCCTCATTCAGGTGTGTAAAGCACACTGGATTGCCCATCTCCAAGTAGTTTTTCATCAGCCCAATGAGGAGGTTTGACCTGCAGATCTCCAAATCTCCTCCCAGCTCTAGTACTTTGACAGTCTCCCCAAGGATACACGGGGAAGGAGTCAAGGCCAAGCAGACCAAGGCAAAGCTGGGAGAAGCCCAGGTCCCCCGCTCCCTGCTCAGGGTCTTCCAGTGGGCTTCCAGTCTCTGGGCTCAGGTAGGAATTAATGACGACAAAGCACTCACTGCTTTCACTTGGGAGTGGCCTTGAAGGGGTCAAGGGTATTCACAGAATTACAAAGAAAGCCTCTTCTGGCTTTCCTTCTGGGAAGGGAAAAGGTCAGATGAACGAGGAGAGCCAGCGCCCTTGGTGGGTGATGATGGACTCGGGTATATTTCCAGCTCCCTGGCCCCACTCCCCAGAGAAGTCGAGTTGGGAAGTGGTAGGGGTTAGAGAAGGAATCACTGCAGACAACTGCATGTGTCAAGGAGGGTCATGGAGCTGCCCACTGAGACAGAATGTGGCCTGGCCTGACGCACAGTGGGGAGTCATGAAGCCCATCATGCTGGGTGCCACCAAACCCTCGAATCCCACACTCTGACCCCTCACAGGCTCCCTCACAGCCTCAGCATCCCTGATTTGGAGGCTCATTTCCCCGGGATGGAGACTCTCTTGTCACTGCCTGTTCCATGGCGGGGCAGTCATGATAGAAGATGAGAGATTTCTTCATTCCAAGGAGAACTCAGCCTCCCCTGGGTGAGTTCTGTCCTTTAGGATTGCATAGAACAAGAAGAACCCCCTTCCTGGTAGTCATCTCCTAGAGACATGGAGCCTAACCAATCCCAAGGTCTTCGACCCTTCCCTCCTCCCTCTACAAGATTTATCCTTTCCTGGTCCAGACAACCCTTGCCTGAGGCCCATTCCCAGGAGATGGCTGGTGTTTAGACAGATAATTCCAGAGATGCAATGGGCTATACAAATCACCTAGTCTTATTGCCCATTTCACAGATTTGAAAACAAAGGGTCAGGGAGGGAAGGGTTTTGCCAGGACCTCCTGCTGTCCCTCCACTGCCTGTGGTCCTGAAGGCCGGCTGCCTAACCTCTTGGAACCTTCAGAACACATCGGGTACATCAGCTCACAAAACTGCCAATAATTTGTTCAGAGAGAAAAACAAACCCACAAACCACCAGGAACCTGGAACCTCTACGAGGCAGCAAGCCCAGGGCTCAGACGGCAACACAGTACATGGAGCTTGGAGGTGATTTTGTTTTTGCTGTTTTGCAACGATATATGTATAAAGTCAAAGCCTCTTCTTCCACAGTGAAGCAGACTTGCTGGTGGGGGTGAGGACGAGGAAACGGGGCCCGTAATACTCAGAGGATGGCTCCTAGGATCTGGAGGTGGCCACTGCCCACTCAGTCGTGGCACCCTGTCCCGGCCAGTGACACGGCTGGCTCTGCACATCATGCCCAAGGCACCTGTCCAGTTGTCCCCGGCCTGATCCTTCCCTCCAGCCCAGCAACTTCCACCGTGGTGTCCAAATGGAAGAGACAGACGTTCCACTTCTAAGAAAGGGATAATAAACAGCATTCCCTCTCCCTCGACACATACACAAACATACACACTTCCATACCTTCGGTGATACATATAACAAGAATGCATGTCCTTTCCCTGCCTGTCTTGAACTGGAGAATTGCTGCAGTACAGAGCCTACAGAAGCATTAGCAGTCGCCTCATCTCACGAATGGGGAAACTGAGGCCCAGAACTGGGAGACCTGTGTCCACAGCCTCAGCAGTCTGAGCCCGACTGGGGCAGATTTCATGTCTCTGAATCCCAGCCTGTGGCTCCTTCCAAGCGGTTCAGGCCCCCCAAGGGTGTCTAAAACGCAAGGTGGCCAGTGGACACCTGCTTGGGTAACACACATGGATCCCAGACAAGGGGTGGGGGATCACACGGCCAGGTGCAGGATGGAGGGGCCATAGCCAGCCTGAGTCACCAAACATGCCGGGAAAGGGCCGATAGCTCCCTTCCTCTCTCTGGCTTTGCCAAAGACACGGGGTCCACAGTCCTTCACTGGCCAAGGACACAGGGCTCTAAACTAAGCAGCTAAGCCCTTCTCCAGTCACTTCAAAGGCCTCTCCAGAAACAGTTCCCCAAGTGCCCCAGGCCCTTCCTCTTTATAAAACCAAGCAAAGCAATATCCCCCTTGACCCAAACTCCCCAAGGATTCCAGAAGATGATCACGAGTCTGCAAACACACTTGGACAGAACGCAGAAAGCTGACATGGAATGAAGTGGGCCCCACACATGGGCCATGGCACTCTAGAACTTTCCTCCACCTTCTCCGAACTTGGTTCTGCCCCATTTTAAATTCTTAGGCTGTGGTCTTGCAACTTGTGCCGTGGAGCCAGGACAGGCGTTGGGGTGCGGCCACTACTCCCACCAGCGGCTTCTGCTAACGGGCATGGTGGGCGTGGCTCCCCTCCCGACACCCCAGGACACCCTAGCATCTGTGGTGATTCAACATCAAGAGCACACAGAGGTGAGTCTTCACAGAGGTCTCAGAGAGATTTCAGGAGCTGGTGGCTGGGGCTCCTCATCGTCCATGGGGGTTGGGGGTGAGGGGGAGCCCTGGGCCCTGGACTTGGGCACATGGAGGTGTAAGGTGCTTCAGGATTCACTGACGTTGGTTCATCCTAGTCATGGCTTTGACTTGAGGGGAGATGGGGAGGGGAGGGTTAGGGGCTCCATGTGGTAGGCATGGTTGGGGAGCAGTCTTTGTGGAGCATCCATCTCTCACCTTCTGCAGCTGATGCCTGAGGGTGGGAGGGGCAGAAGGGAGGCTCCCAGATGAACCCCATCCACCTTGAGTCAGGGGTAAAATAATGTGGATGATGAAGGTCTTCTTCCATAAGTCACCCTAAACTCTTCCCATCTCCTTTCCAAGCACATCCACATTTCTGGCTCTCAGTAATTTTTCTTGGGCCAAATGAAAAGCACCGGAACTTTCCCTGACCCTTAGCCCCACACTCAAACTGAAGTCTCTGATTGGAAGAGCCCTAGAGCTGCCCCACTGCCCTGATACCCAGGAGCTGGGCACCTGGACACCAAGATGTTGGGTGAGCATGAGGGAGCCTCAGATCTGGCCTGTGCTGAAGGACACTGGCCATCCAGGCTGGACCTCTGGCGGGCCTCAGGGACTGGGTCAGGCCTGAGAAGGACCCCAGGGTGGTGAGCAGATTCAAGGAGTCCACATGGAGAGTCAGACACTGTGGGGGGCTGTCAGGCAGGCCCCACCCCAAGCCCTCCAAAGCAAGGTCATCAGCTCAGCTCACAAGGCCTCACACACAGGGTCAGGCGATCACTGAGGCTGGTGGAGACGGCGTGGGGTGGAGCTGGGGAGCTGCATCAGGTGAACAGGGACACTGGGTGAAGGGGTAGAGATGGGATGACTTTTCCAAATTTGAGGAGTATTTACATGTGTGGGGTCAGAGCCCAAGGGCCCAGGGTGGGTAGGGATGGGGCCAGCGCCCTGCACCCTTCTCCCCCCTCGGGGAGCCCAGCTTCTAGCCCAGGGCCTGTCCGAAGGGAGAGAAAAGGCGCAGCATGTGTGGGCCGGCGTCCACCTGCAGCCCCAACCTGTGTATGGAGGAGAGGAGGCGGGAGGTGGGCTCAGGTGACCAGGTTGTCGGCCGGGAGGCCAGACATGCGGATCTGGGAGCTGCTCTTGCTCAGGATGGAGAGCTGCGTGCCGCCGTTCACCCCGCTGCTGGCCAGGGACGGGTGTCGGTGCTTGAAGTCCATGGTGAAGTAGCGGTTCACCTTCCAGCTCCGCCACTTGCGCTTGATCTCCGCCTGCACCTGCGGGGAGCAACTGGGGCCGTTACTCGGGACAGACATCCTCTCCAACCTCATCCACCCACCTGCCCTGTCCAGGGGCCCTTCCCAGGCTGGCACTGCCCCCTCCAGCAGCACCTGGCTGACTCCCAAATTGCAGCTTGCAGCCCTGGAGGTCACCAATGGGAAAGGAATGCCTGGAGGAGCTGCCCTTGGCCCTTTTCCCAGGTCACTGTCTGAGCAAGGCCCTCAATGGCTTCTAGTGGTCTGTGGGCCTCTGCTCCTGGCCGTTAGTGTTCCACAGTCAAAGACCAGCCCAGAGGGTCTTCTTTAAAAAGCAGCCCTTAGAGACAGATCAGGGCAAGGATCTCCACTGTCACTGACTATTAACAGTGGGCTGCACATTAGAATCACCTGGAGAGCTTTAAAAATCCAGACGCCCGGGAGGGAGGGGGAAAGGGGTGAAGGGACACGTGTAAGGTGACAGATAGCAACTAGACTTTTGATGGTGAACACGATGCAATCTACACAGAAGTCAAGATATGATGTACATCTGAAATTTATACAATGTTATAAAAGAATGTGACCTCAATAAAAAATAGATAAATGGAAAAACAATGCGGTATATACATATAATGGAATATTATTCAGCCTTAAAAAGGAATGGAATTCTGATACATGCTACAACATGGATGAACCTTGAAGACATTATGCTAAGTGAAATAAGTCAGATACAAAAGTCCACATATTGCATGATTCCACTTATATGAGATACCTAGAGTAGGCAAATCCATAGAGACATAATATAAAACAGTGGTTCCCAGGGGATGGGGGAAGGGAGAATGCGGAGTGATTGTTTACTGGGCACAGAGTTTCAGTTTGACGTGATGAAAAAGTTCTGGTCATGTACAGTGGTGATGGTTGCTCAACAATGTGAATGTACTTAAGGCCACTGCATCGCACACATAAAAGTGGTTAAAATGGCAAATTTTATGTTATGTATATTTTATCACAATAAAAAAATCATTTGGAAAAAATCATGGAAAAAAAATCGAGATGCCCAGACCATACCCCAGAACAATTACATGAAAATCTCTGGGGCAAGGCATCCATGTTTTAAAGCTTCCCCAGGATTCCAATATGCAATCAGGGCTGAGATGCACCCCTCTGGGAAAACACACCCCCATGCTGCTCTTAGCACAGCGTGTGCGGGGCATGCCCAGTTTCAGCCCCCACACGCCCCTGCAGTCCAGCACTTTGTGCAGTGCACAATTGTACGACTGGAGGCAGTAGGGGTACCCACCCCCTCCAGTTCTAGCTCCCACATCCACCGCAGGCCCTTGATGAACTCCATGTACTCCCACTTCTTGTCTCTCCCAGCCATTCCCTGTAGGGCCCCGTCTGTCTCTCCTTATCTGTCCTTATGGGACCCTCTATAGGTTGTCATGGTGATCACTGACCCCATCTTTTCGTTTCTCACAGCCAAGACCCAAACACTGGTGCAAGGACCCCTGCCCACCCTCTAAACCCATCCACCCATCCAGCTCCCTTCTTAGCGCCTCTATTCTGGGCTCTGCTCAAAAGCATCACGCTAACAGGCTAGAGCAGGAGACCCCAAGACCATGGCTCTGGAGATGGAGCATTACTAGAAGGTTCCAGGCCTCACCCCAGGGTCTCTCCAAATCCCCATAATCCCCACTCTACAGGGGATGGGTTTGGGCAGGCAGGCTGGACTACTGGGGCAGTGCTGAACTTTGGCAGCTCCCCACTCAGCACCCCTGCCCATCACAGCCTCATGATCTGTAGGTACCACTCCCTGCGCCCTGCTCTTCCTCACTTTCTGTTCATGTTTACTAAGGTGTGTCTTATGGTGAGAGCCCTCCCAGGTGGGTCTGCACTCAGCAGTTGATGCCTTCATGGGTGGAGCTCTACTCCAGAGGCTGCGCCTCAGCTGCACAGCCGGCAAAATGGGAGAAATTCTGGCACAGGGAAGAGGCCGTCAGGAGACCCTGACACCACTGCTGTCCCCCACATACAGGTGCTGGGGGCCTGGCAGGGCCCTGGTCTGGAGGCTAAGTCCTGTGCGGCCAGCAGGCTGCACCCCTGTCTGCTCCCCAGCATGCCCCACCTCCATCACTAAGAAGCCAGAGGGCCAGGGTCTTACCTCTCCATTCAGAAAACAGTAGAGCACAGCCACCACAAAGCCCTAGGGAGAGAGAGCAAACAACATGAGGATGCCAGCAAGGGACCTTCCACGCAGGGGCTGGGAGGGGACAGGAGTGAGGAGGGATACCAAGAAGCAGAAAAATAGGATGACCTGGATGGGGGCCACCTGCCCAGGAATCCGGGGTAAGACGGGACAAGTTCTGCTCCACCAAGGTGCCATACCCATGAAGCCAAGCAGCTGGTGGGAGAGTCCCCTCCCACTGACACACCTGGCTTTGCATCTCACGTTCTCTTGGTCCTTCCCATTCCCAAGGGCCAGCTCTATCCCACTTTCTACAAAAAGCCTTCCCTGAATGCCCGTGTCTTTATCCCCACCACCTCCCCACACTGCCCTCCCTCAGCCCAACACTCTCGTACACAGCACACATAAAACACCGTGTGAGTAAGTACTTGGCACAGAGTAGGTGTTTGGCTACTCTACACATATTCTTTATATGCATTCTTTGCATTTAGAATTCTTGTGCTGAGACAGGAACCCAGGCTCTGACTCCCAGGCTGGAGGTTTGTCTATAAAACTCCCAGCCTCACCAGGGTAAGAACCACAATAGATAAAATGACCTTGAGTTCAATCGAGAGGAGGGAGAGACTGAAGTCAGATACACAGAGTAACTTTCTGACCACCAAGGTCAAATACCTGTTCAAACAGTTAGGTTAGAAAGGCGCTCTACCCTGGGGACGCTCAAGGGAGCCACCGCCTTCACTGACCCATTCGTGCTCCCCTCTGTTCACTTACTCACCACGCACCAAGTCACTCGCTCCTTCACTCACTCGTCCACAACCCCATCTGCTTATTCCTTCACGCACGGAGTCACCAGTCCACCCACTCTCTCATTCCCCGGATCACTTATTTATTATCCCTTCGCTCATCCAGCTGTTCAGCTCATTCAGCTCTCTGCAGCCAGGTTCTGAGCTAGGGACCTCGACTTGGGTAAGACAGAGCTCCAGCACTCATGCGGTGCATGATCTACAGGCTGAAGTCAGGAAGTAGACACAGGTCTCTTGGGGACACTCCGCTCACACCCAGGCCAATAGTGAGGGATGCAGAGCTGCCGTCTTAGATCACCCAAGGGGGGCCTGGCTCAGGATGTCAGATGCCGCGACAAGAAGACAGCAGTGTCTCCTCATAGGAGCCGGCAGAGGGGCTCTCCCAGCTCCCTTCTATTTTAGTACTCTTATTTCAGAGACAGAAACCTGGAGGCTGAGTCTGGGTTAAAGAAGTTTCTAGAACCACCAGCAAGTTAGGGGCCAGGGCCCTAGCTCCCTGTGCGTTCTGCCCTCCACACGTGCCACACCTACCTGGAAGGAGCCCAGCCCCAGCTCAAACACGAGTCTCTCCCTCTTGCTGACGTTCTCCGGGGAGAAGGCGAATACCGTGTAGTGGATGCCAAACAGCGGGATGAGCAGCAGAGTGGACCGGGCCAGCCGTCTGTCGGGAGAAAGACTTCTGCTCCAGGGGCTGTGGGGGCTTCATGCCACAGCCATGGAGGGCAGAGAACCCCAGTCCCAGCCCCCTGCTCTCTCCCAGAGCTGGAGCCCCTATTCACGGACCCCCCTCAGGATTCTCTTCCAGTGCATGGGGCCTGGGAAAGATGGTGGCTGACAGAGCCCGGACTTTCAGAACTCCCTGGGAGGTTCCGGGGGCACATCTCCCAGTCTGCAGGGTGCCTACCCCTCTAGGCCATGACAGTACCACCTGGAACCACTAAACATGTACATGTGAGTATGTGATATACAGAGTCCCCTTGTGGGAGATGCAAAACCCTTGGGAAAAATGAAGTCAGGGCAAAAAACGGGGATGGGATTTGGAAGGCTTGAGCGATGTGAGGGTCCTCAAGCAGAGCAAAAATTCTCTTGCTCTGGAGGGAAGCTCCATGTGCCTGAAAAGAACAGCCCCTAAGAGGCCACAGAGACAATGGAGGTGATGATGACAGGGAGGCGGGGTGGCAGGCACAGTGGGTGGACCACAGGAGAGACTTGGGAGGGATCCTGGGAAGGACTTATTGACCCTGGGCATAAACAATCACCATCCAAGCAGGAGGAACCTGCCACCCGAGAAATTGAGTCAAAGAAAGAGAAGACTGTCTGCTCAGTGGTGCGGCGGGCAGGGGAGAAAGGGCCAAAGAGACCTCTGCATCTCCTGAGGCCAGCTCTTCTGGGGTTCTTCCGCCTGCAACTGGCTCCTAGGCCCAGTGGGGTGGGGTTCTGTTCTCAGGGGGTGGGGGCACAGATGGTAAGACACCAAGAGTAGGCACGGCGTGTGTACTTGCAGGTCCTGCTCTGTCTGGAGGGTTGCTCCCAGAGGGTCTCCATGAGTGGGACCCCATCTCTGCCCACCCCAGCACAACAGCTCCCTCTGGATCTCCTTGAAGAGCCAGCCCTGCTCTGCAGGTGCGGTCTGTCCCCCGGGCCCTCTGAGTGGGGGAGCGGGCGAGAGATGCAGCTTCACCCTCTCCTGGCAGAGCTCAGTCCACGGGGGTGGACAGCTCGGTGTGGGGGAGACCATATGATTTGGGGCAGTTACACCACGTGCCCCTCCCTCTTCCCCATCCTAGCCCTTCTGGGAGAGAATGTTCTGTTGAATGTGGGGGCTCCAGATTTCACGAGAAGCCAAATCCATAGAATCTAAGTGAGGCCCTTGGCTTCCCAGAGTCTACTGAGGGGGCAGGAACGAGGGAGGGGGAAGGGGAAGAAAGAGAAGCAGGGAAGGAGACAGAGAGGAAGGCAGAGGAGTAGCGTGGGGACACCTTCAGGTGAACCAAGACTCAGCTGGACCAAGAAAGAAGCTGGGTGCCCACCCATTCTCCCCCTGCTCACAGGCAGCCCATTCTGCAGGACCCAGGGTCCCTGGATCAGAGCTGGTGCCCACTGGATCTGAGCAGGCCCCCACTCCAAGCCCAGGTGCGGTCCTGGCGTGGCCTGTCCTCCCATCCTTCCCTCATCTGTCTGTCCTCCCTCAGACCGTGGCTCCCTGAGGGCGGGCGTGGTGCCTTGTTGAGCTCTGTTATCTCCCGTGGCCAGCATGTGCTAGACACGGGGCTCACACTCAGAACACACCTGTCCATGAAGGAATAAATGGGCCACGCAGGCCAAGTGTGAAAGCTTCGGAGTCCTGAAAACTGAACACGACCTGGGAGCTTGGGTCCCGCTCATCTCTGGGCACCCAGGGCCCAGCACCAGAGGACAGCAGGGAGTGTTGACTGAAGAATGAAAGCCCAAAAAGAAGACAGAAGTGGCCTGGAAATGTAGGCATGTGGACATCTTGGGGGCCCCTCGGTGACCACGCCTAAAGGGGTTACTTCGCAAGAGCAGCATAACTGAAGGGGTTCAGGAGAGAAGGCGGCCCTGGGACATGCCTGTGGTCCCTGCCCTCCTCCCTCCCTGCCTCCTCTCCACAAATGGCCCGTTTCCAGGGACTTGTCCCTGCAGTTTGAAAAGTGCCCTGGAGACCAAAAGGTCAAATCTCCCAGCTTTCGTGGTGCCAGTGGATGGGATGGGTTCAGTGTGTGAGAAACAGCGACCTTTCAGGTGTGGGCTCAGGCCCTTGCTGCCCCCAGGAGGATGTGGCGATGGCAGCAGGGGAATACCTGCTGTAGTCCCAGGGCAACACCTTCCCTCCCCGGCAGCCCTGTGGCAGCCCGGACAGTCAGGACTTCTGCTGAGGACCCAGGGCATCCAATGACCCCTTTAGTAGACAAGGCAGTGGAGGCAGATGAGGAGGTCACTAGAGCCCAGAGCTCTGGGACCTCTGTACTTCAGAGCTGACCAGAGGCCTTGGAACAGGGACATGTGAGTCTTGGGACCCCTCTTTGAGGACAATAACAAAATCACCCTGTTATCTGATTAACCCAGAGAGACAATGACACAGGGCCTTGGCCTCTGTCCTCCTGCCCCGAGAAAGCATCAACGGGCAGAAGAGTTCTCAAAAATACCAAGAAGAGCTTCCAACAGTCAGAGCTGCCCAATGACGGAGGCTCCCCCGCTTAAAGGGATGTCCAAATTGAGGCAGATGCTCCAGTCAGAGACACCCTGGGACCTAGTGACAGGACTCCTGGGTTCAAATCCTCACCCTGCCAATTGTGTGACCTTGAGTGAGTCACTTCACCAATCTGCGCTTCAGTTTTCTCATCTGTAAAATGGGGATAACACAAGTACCCACCTCATAGGGTCATTGTGGGGATTAAGCCACATGACACGTGAAGTGTGAGTGAAGTTCAGTGGGCTGAGGGTCCTGTCCCGTGCAGGGGGACAGTGTACATGAACTCAAGCTCCAAGGCTCTTAGAAATAATCTGGCAGTTGCAGAGACAGAAGCCCAGAGAAGTGAGAGATTTGGGGAAGACCACACACGGCGGCAGCAGTGGCACGGGCTTCAGAACAACTTCCTCCTCAGCACCTGCCAAGCCTCAGCTGCTCCCGCAATGGCCGCAGCTCCATTCCTGCAACCTCCCCGCCCGCCCCATGACCCCAAGGTTGCAGAGAACTCACAAGACACACAGACGTCAACATGCAACAGCCAGGAAAGGGCTCGGGGCTGGAGGCACAGGCCTGCTCTCGCTGTCCTCCAGCCCGGCGGGACGCAAGCTCCAGGTGGCAGCGGCAGCATGCGTAGCCCTCCCCTCCAGGACACCCAGCCACAGCCACGCCACGCACACTTACAGAGTAATGGTGGACAGTTCTGACATCTTGCAAGAGTGCTGCTGAGCCCGCTGTGGCTTGCAGTAGCATTTCTGCACGCAGCTGCTGGGTGTGACAAGATCAGCACTTCTGTCAGCCGGGGGCATCGGGCAACGAAGAAACTGAGGTGGGACTTAGAGCAAGATGGCTTACGGGAGGGGCACGGGCAGAGGGGCCGAGGGTGTGGAGAGGGCAGGCGGTGACATGGAGGAGAATGAGGAAGCCAAGGGCCAAGACGCGGTCAGCTCTGGACATAGAACTGCACGCCCATACGAGCGCACGTGTGTGCACGGACACAGACGCACACGAGCGCTCACACTGGGACCACCGACAGGTGGGGGGGTTCGAGGAGACTTATGTGTGTGGAAGGTGGGGCCAGGGCTGGATCTCACGCAGGGGGCCAGAAGCGTCTCCAGAGTCAGCTCCAGGCTCAGAGCATGGCCTGGCTGGAGGTCACTCAGCGAGATGGGCCGCTAGAAACTCACGCCATGGACCTCATGCTGCCTAGCCCGGGTGGACCAAGCCTGGACTCAGACCACTTCTGGGCTTGGCTGTGAAGACCAACTTGAGTCCACTGGTCTTCCTCATCTACATTTCTCACTCTCCTGCCCGTACCTTCCTCTCTCTGACTCCCGGCCACCTCAGTGTAGGCACACAGGGGGAGCAGAGGTAGGACGGATGGAGCAGACTGTTAATTAGTCTAAATCTGTGCTATCCAATATGATAGCCACTACCCATCTACAGCTATATGAATTAAAATTAAGTCAAATTAAAAATCCACTTCCTAGGGGCTGGCCCCGTGGCGTAGTGGTTAAGTCTGGTGTGCTCTGCTTCAGTGGCACAGGTTCACGAGTTCAGAACCCAGGGTGGGGACCTACACCACTCATCAAGCCATGCTGTGGCAGCAACCCACATACAAAATAGAGGAAGATGGGCACAGATGTTAGCTCAGGGCCAATCTTCCTCACCAAAAAAAAAAAAAATCCACTTCCTCAGTTGCCCGTAGCCACACTGCATGGGCTTGACAGCCACATGTAGCTAGTAGTTCCCATACCGGACAGCACAGATCTAGGGCACTCCCATCACTGCTGAGAGCTCTATTGCATAGCACTGGCCTAGACTTCTTCAAAGAAGTTCAATGGGCAGGGGTTGAAGGCTGAGAGGGGCACCTTTCGGGCGCTTCCCCAAGGCCTGCAGAAACAGGGCATCTGAAGCAGGCATCCACAGGTGGACCCAGGGTGCCAGCCTAGCCCTACATTCCACTAGGTGGCACACAGAGCTTCCACCTCCTCAGAGAGGTCTCAGGCTGAATTTCCACCTCTTCTAGCCCCGCATGGTCCTGCTTATGCTTGGGTTGGCACAAGCCAAGAACACTTCCTTCTCTGACAAACATGAAAGAGATGGATTAAGAGCTGTGTCATCTCGTCAGACTGCAGATGAATTGCCTACTTCACAAACCCTCCTCAGGCACCGCATGGTGCTGAGCTCCTGGCATCTGCAGGTGAACTGACTGATCTGAGAGGGATCTGATGCAAATGAGAACAGAGACGCACAAAGAGACCAGACCTTTGGCATTCACAGATTTGTTACTTGTGATTCCAGCCCTTTGTGAGCAAGTCTGAAGGTTCCTGACATGTGGTGATGTGTCATTTTGCTGAGCTACCAGTTGAATCACACACTTCAAAGACGGGACCAGCCAAGGTCGGCCCAGCATCTGTGCCTCGTCAGGTCTGCGGTTCTCATGTAATAAATAGCCTCCTTCAATTCATACTGCACTGTGAGGCGGGTGCTACTGGCCCATTTTACAGACGAGGGACGTGAGATAAGTTATGACGCTCTGCTGCCCAGAGTGGGCTCCCCAGACCAGCAGCATCAGCACCACCTGAGAGCTTCTTAGAAATGCAGAATCTCAGGGGCCACTCCAGACCTGCTGGCTCAGACCTGCATTTTAACAAGATCCCTAAGTGACATGCATGCAAATCAAGTTCGAGAAGCAACGCGGCGAGGAAGTCATGTACTTGAGAAGTTTCCTCACGTGTCCTCAATGAGTGTCAAAGGTCTGCTTCATGTACATACAAAGAGACAAATGGACACATATAAGTATGTTTGTCTCAGCAATTAAAAGAGCTTAATTGGATATTCAGAAATGGAAGCTGTTCTAATCTTCAAATTTCTTCTCCACCTTGCCCAGATTGAAAGGGCGGCTATTCTCCCTATAGCCAACAGGCTGATAACTCAACCTTGACCTGAGTGAACCACAGGAATCAGGGTCCAGGAGCCCGAGAGCCCGAACCTCAGATGTCACCTCCGACACACCAGGCTTAACCCCTCACCCCAAATTCTAAAGCTTCAGCTGTTTTCCTCTGAGACCTCTCCTCCTTGAGCTCCCAAATTGTCCCTGCCCTTCCTGGGCCCTGGATATAGTACATACAGACCCTCTGATTTCTTTCAAAGTACACTAAAGGCCATTTAGTGTAAAGTTATCTGGGAAATCAGGCCCCTGGTAAAGATGTGTGCCTCTGACAGGGGTGGGGAGGGACAAAGGGGGACACCTGACACCTGGGAAGGCTTCCCTGCCCCCAAACCTTCAATGACTCTGTGCAAAAGGAACACAGAAAGAGGGGTGCAGAAAAGCAAGAGACGAGGGTGAGAAAGAAAGAGATGTCAGAATCTCTGAAAAGTCACTACTATTAATGAAAAACAGAAAAGGAATTTAATCAAGAGGAAGAGATATACCAGGCTGGCCCATGAGCTCAGTTCAGATTTGGATCCAAGGGAGGATTAGAAACTCAAAGAAGGGTGCTGGGTGGGCACTGCTTGGAGAGCAGTGTCAGCCTGAATCAGAAGACTGGAGACCCCCACAGCAGGTGCAGGGCCCACGCCCACACCTGGAAGTCAGGGAGGCCTGGCTCCCAGGCACGGTTCTGCCAAGGCTTTGCTGTGTCTGCAGGAAGGTCAAAGCCACTTCCAGGTCTTGGCACTCCCATCTATAACCCAGGGATGCAGCATGCAGTTTGTTGGGCCCCTGCTTTGGTCTCAGGCCAAACTCCATGAATGCTTCTGTGTATAGCACTGCCTGGTCTGCTGCCCCAGGAAACACCTGACAGGATGCCAGACGCAGACCCCTGGGGGGCAGCCTTGTGGTAGCAGCCCTATTTCACTCTGATCCTAGTGAGCAGCATAGCCTCGGACAGTCTGCAGGCCCACAGAATGTCGTGGACTAAGCTGAACATTGTCCATAGGGTCCCTCTGGTGCTAAAAGGCTATGCATCCCCAGAACCCCAGCCCAGTCCCCAGGGAAGCACTCCACATCACACTGGTACCCCAGCCAGAAGCCCAGCTCAGCAGACCTTGGAGTTTCCCTGCCCACCCCTACCTCCTCGCCTACCACTGAGGATGAGCAGCCCTCTGCCCCCTGCCCAGCCTGGGGGTCAGGGCACCTGAGCTCAAGGCATTGTTTGGCCACTGGCTTGCTGGGTGATCTTAGGCGGTGACCATTCCTTCTCTGGGCCTGTGTCTCCATCTGCAAAATGGAGGTAACCATTCCCTGCTGCCAATCCCTAACAGGAGTTGTGAGGATGGGGTGCTCCTAGACAGGGGAGAGAGTGCTCTGGAAGTGGAAGATGGAGCCCCATGTGAACTGGAAGCCTTAGGCTGTGGGCTGAGTTCCTAGACTGAAAGCTTCCTGGCTGCATCCCTGCCTCACCAAGGAAGAGCGTGTCTTTGGAGGTGAATGTCGTCCTTCCGACACTGGGTATGTCACAGCCCTGCTGTGTGCCTATGGCATCATGGCGTCTGTTCTCTTCTCCTTCCTTTACCCCACGGGGCCATGGAGACCTACTCTGTGGGGTCCCTGAGGGGGATACAGGTTGGGTTTCCCTCCCCCACCCCAGACCCAAGAGGCAGCTTCTAATGCCATTGCAGTGAGGAGACCTGGGAATAAAGCCAGCTCCCCGCAGGGCTGGGCCTGGGATGCTCTCAGCACAAGGGGTGTTTTCCCTGAAAACTCACCATCCCCTTTCGGAGCCAGCTGGCTTTGCAGAGGCAAACTCTGGCCCCCAGGAAAAGGCACGCTAACCCTGACCCCAGACTCAAGCTGAGCCCTAACCCCTGCCCCAGAAAAGTCGAGCCTGAGCAAAGCTGAGCCCTGACCCAGGCCCACGCTCCATGCCTGGCCACTGCTCAAGTCCTGACCCCAGCCACTCATTCCCCAGAAGCACCAGGTGAGAGAGTGTGGGTGCTCAGTGCCACCATTCCCTGCAGGGGCCCAGCCCCCGATAGGTCCTTCTGAGGCTGGGTCAGGAGCGCCGTCTCGGTCTACGGAGGACAAACCCTTATCATCTGAGCAGCTGGAACCAACCTACAGGAAAGGGAGTGAATGCTGGTCTGAGGGCACAGGCAGGGGGTCCTCTCGGGCTTTCTTGGGGACTCTCAGGCTTAAATTTGTTCTGGAAATAGAGGAAAAAACCGGAAAGCTGTTGTGGGCAGATCTGAAGGGTCTTCTCAGCCCAACATATAACTCTGGTGGCCCCAGGGGACTCAGGCACAGCCCTGAAATCTCCCTCTCCCACCATGTCCTGCCCTTTCCAATCCCCCCATAGCCTCCCCTCCCTCATAGTAGACACCTCCCAGCTCAAAGCACTCCAGGTGGGGCTGGAACCCACCAGGGCCTCTTCTCCCAGGAAGCTTTGTTTATATACTTGTTTAACACCATCTTCTCGCCTGTAAATTCCTCGTGGACAGAAATGGTGGGTAGTCAAGCCTGGAGTCAAGGGCCTGACTGCATTGTAGCTACAGCTTCACTCTCTTCCACTGGATTCATCTCACTTCACTAGTTAGATAGCTGGTTCCCTCAGCTGTGAAATGGGGATTATATGTAACAGTTGGTTACCTATCGCCCTGGATTTGCTGGGTGTCTGAAGCATTAACTATGCCTGGACTGAGTCGTGAGTGTTTTTTCAATGCTCTGTAGTTCTCGGCAGCACTGCCACTTTGATTTTCCCTCACTTCTGCCAATAGGGTCTCCTTGACCCTGGAAACACCCAAACACATTGCTGAATTTAATGGGATCAAGTGGATTCCTTGTCCTGCATCAGCCCTTCCACCTGGCTTGCAGACCACATCCATCTAAGTTGTTAATCTTTAGGGCTTAAGACTAGCAGAGATTTAGCTTTCTCTGATAAAAAAAGATCTGCTGATATTACAAGGGGATTTTTACACAGTAGAAGCAAACCAACTAGCTGGTTCTTTAAAGGTTTGTACTTAAATGTATAAACCATGTGCTAATTACAAATGGTTCTTATCTATGCATTACGAAGGCCTGACAGGACCCTACAGCTCTCAGTCTTCAAGTGATAACTTGAAAACCCTGGCCCCGCACTTCTCTGCCACCAGACCCTGGGGGTCCTCGCTGCCCGGGGCAGGATGTCTGAGCTGGTAAAGTGTGTTCCAGGGTCAGTAGAGTGTCCTTATTTAGGGTGCCGCTGAGCCCACGTGTGTCCCTGCACAGGGAGAGTGAGGGGAAGCTGGGAGAGCCCCCCAGAGAAGAGGTCCCGGGAACCTCAGAAGAAGAAACAGATCCTACCGGGAAGCAGGGGGTGGGACCAACGCTGCTAGAGCTCAAAGGAGAGATGAGGCTGACTTAGCTACCTGCTGGCTTCAGACGTCCCACACAGCTGAGAGTGTGGCAGCCAATCCACCCTCGAGCAGGAGAAACTGGGGCCAAACACAGGGACACGGTTTCTGACACTGGATAGGGAGGCGAGGGGAACAGCAGGGTCCTGTCTTGTGGGTCCCTGAGACGAAGGCAGGGATGATGTCTCTAGGGCAGTTAGCTAGTTGCAGAGAGCGGGAACCACTGGCTCCCCAGCGCAGGGCCTCGGAGACTACGTGACTTACATGGATGAACAATTTTCAACCACATGACATACACACGTAAGCAGAGGTTGGTAAAAACTTGCAAAAACATGAAAAAACTAAGACAGTAAATGGACAAAAAAAAAAGGAGAGGAGTCTTTTCCAACATAATGTCATCATCCTACATGTAGGGAAAACAAGGCTGACCACGTCAGGCCCTGGGCCGACCCCCCACCCCTGGGGAAGGGCGTCCAAAAGGGAGGTGCCCAGCCTGGAGAGACAGATGAAGAGCAAGCTCCCCCTCCCTGCGGAAGCCCCAAGGAGCCCGAGGGAAGGATCTGGGACTGGTCTCTGAGCAGTTGCTGCCTCTCCCTCTCCCTCTCCAGGAGAACGGCCGGGTGGAAGGAGCCCTCTGCTGGGGTCTCTGCTGTCCCACCTGTCCGCTGGGCAGATGATCAAGGTTCTGAGCCCTAGATGGGGGTCTCTGATGAAGGAAGGACCAAGCCCCCACTGAAGCCATGAGAACAGCTCAGCTCCTTCTAACCTGCTCTCCTCTCACTCCAAGGAAGCAACACATATGGTTTCTACCTTGCCCACGGATGGACCCCAGAGACTGCCCTCAGATTCTCTGTGCCCATCTGACCCCTCCAGCCAACCACAGACACCAACCTTCCTCCTCAGCATCAGAAGTGTCCCTACACCCTACACACCCAGCTGGTGATGCTCCTGATCACGGGGCAAGAAGGGTGGGATGGAAGGTGCTTGGTCTCATTCGGTACGGGTCGAGGCCTGGGAGAGGGGTGGGACAGAGCAAGCAGGGACGAGCTGTTAGGGATTTGACTGCCAAAACTCTCGTAGGAAACAAACCAAATGGCCATGGAAGTGGACAAAACCCTACACTTAATGGTGAAAGGCTGCCCACAAACCTGATCAATCCCAAACATAGCAGATGTTCCTCTGCCCAGGGAGGAGGGAGTTTCACAAGGAGGACCAGACCCAGAAGTAGAGCTGCCTTGAGGGAAGGCGGAGAAAAGAAAGAATCCTCCCTTCCAATACCCTGACCAACGAGAATGTCCACCCACTTGCTAGTGGGGGCTGAGCAACCTGCACACACTGGGCTGAGGGTGGGGATATCAGGCAACAGTGTATCCAGTGGTGATCAAGAGCTTCCCACAGAACCAAGATCCCCAAGGGAAATCCAACTTCTAAACAAGCGAGACCCTAACTACCCTAGGGAATTTGGCGTTTTCCATCTTGATTTTCCTAGTATGACACGGGATCTGTCAGTCTCTTCCTCTCTCCTTCTTTTCCCTTCCATGTAATGACCATAAAGATTAGGAGCTCCTGGGTTGGCTGAAGGATGGGAGGGCAACTATATTTTAAAGGCACTTTAATCAGAAAGTAATCTTGCAAATGCCCACGCTAGGTTACCCTGTCAGCAAAGCCCAGGCCTTCTCCTGCCCGTGACCTGAGTGCAGGGCCCACACAGCTGTCAGGTGTGCCTGTGGCACTCACACAGAGGTACTTACAAGTAGATGCTGGACTCACTGCCTCCCATGTCTGGAGACTGAAGCTTCTGCACAAGGATGACGATGATGCCAATGAAGAGCACAAAGTTAACCTGAGGAGCAAAGGAAAAGCAGATGGAAATGATTCTGGGCAAAGACTTTCCACACCCCTGCCTCTGTTATTCCCCCGACAGGGCCCTCCCCGCCTGCTCAAGATCCATCTAGACTCATAATCCAAGATGGCGGCATGAGAACACTCGTTTATCTCCCAGCCTCCTACAACATCACTGAAATGACAGGAGAGATAGAGGAAGAAGAATTCCATAGGAGTACTGAGAAACAGGAAAGACTGTTATGAGTGAGCCAGAAAAGCAAGCAATTTCTGGAAGAGAAAGGGCAAAGAGGATCAGGGTGATGGAAACACTACAGTGCCAAACACAGAAAAGGCTACTGCAGAGGGGAGAGCTGTCCTCTGGAGAAACTCCAAGTTCACAGTCACTGAGTGTGGGGAACCGGAATGGACAACACAAGCATTATTAATTAAAGGACGCCTGGGACTAGCAAGAGCAGCATTTACCTCCAGATGAAGATAGGGACAAAAGCTCTCTAAACCAAGTGGGAAGCTGTGTGTGTGGTGAGAAAGGAGGCGGGAGGGGAGCAGATACACAGAAACGAGGCAGAATCAGAGGACCACGCAGCAACATCTTCCCGATGGAGCCAGAGCAGCGCTCGGGGAAAAAATAATAAATATCAAAAATAAAATAATCAAGCATTCAAATCAAAAGCCAGGGAAAGAGTACCACAAATTTAACTTATACAAGAAGGAAATTAATAAAGACAAAAATTCATTACAAAAAAATAGGAAAAGAAAGTAGACTTGATCAATAAAAATAAATTTTATTTTTTGGTTTTGTTTGTTTTCACAGATCAATAAGAATGATGCAGTGTGCTCCATAAGGGCAGGGGTCTGCCGATCGTGTCCTCTACTACCTGCCCGGTGTCTAATCAGTTCCTGGACCCGAGCACAGGCAATACTGCTAACTGCATGTGTTAGTCCGTCCAAAAGGAGAAAATGCAATTAAGCAAATTTAGGGATGAGGAAGAAGACAAGATAACAGATATATAGGATATTTTAAATGTTAAGAGAAAATCAAACAAAATGGGAAAATATAAATTAACAAAATCAAATCAAGAAGATGTAGACCATCTGAGTACAGCAATGACCTCAGAAGAAATTTAAGAAGTAACCAAAGATATAGGCAGTAAAAGGCACTAGGCCCACACAATTTTTCAGACTGGTTTCATAATACCCATAAGGAAGACGTAACTTACATACTATAGTCATGCGTCGCTTATCAACAGAGATGCGTTCTGAGAAATACATCATTAGGTGATTTCGTTGTTGTTGTGCAAACATCACAGAGTGTACTCACACAAACCTAGATGGTATAGCCTACTATACACCTAGGCTATACGGTACTAACTTCATGGTATGAAGTGTGCAGTCCATCACTGACTGAAACGTTATGCAGCACATGACTGCACTTAACTGTTCAAAAGCGAATAAGAAGAAAAGCTCCCAGGTTACCTATGAGGCTAACAAAACTCTGCTACAAAACCCAGACGAGGACAGAAAGCACACACATAGACACACACACAGGCACACACCTAAAACCAGGGAACTTACAAAGAACAATGCAAAAACTATAAACAAAATATTAACAAATAGAATTTAGCAATGTATTAAAAGAATGAACAGATCATGGCCATAAAGGTCTTATGCCAGGATTGCAAAAAAAAAAAAAATCTACTATTATTTGTTACATTAATAGATTACTATTATCCCCCATAAGATTGGTGAATAGTTCAGTAATCAAAATACCAACAAAGACATGAGAAAGGAGCACTCTTGTACACTGCTCATGGAGGGCAATTTGATATCCATGAAAAAGTTAAATGTACACACACTTTGTCCCGGAAATTCCACTCCCAGAGATTTGTTCTCAAGACATATTCACACATGCTCAAAGATATGTACAAACACATCCATTTTGGCATTGTTCATAATGAAGGAATATTGGAATACTATTATTGTCCATCATCAAGGGAATGATTGCTTCAATAACTGTCTCCAAACACATTTGATAAAATTCTACACCTATTCCTGACTTTAAAAAAACACAGACTGAAACCAGCCAAGAATAGAAACTTTCCTAATTCATTGAAGGGGAACTTCCTAAAACTATAGCAAACATGATCCTAACAAAACCAAGAAATTAATGGTAGAAATACTGGAAAGGAAGAGTAAAAACTGTTTTCATTCACAGATTGTGTAATTTTCTACCTAGAAAACCCACGATAAACAATCGAAAAAGGATGAAACTAACAAGAAAGTTTAGAAAAGTAGCCAAGAAAAGAAAAAATAGAAACTAATAGCTTCCCTCTGCACCAGTCGTAACCCACTAGAAAATATATGAAAGCATGATTCCAGACATGATAAAAGCACAGACTGGAAAACACCTTCGAGGTAAATTCAACAAGACAACCAAAAAACTGTACCAAATGACACAATGAGAAAGACTATTCAAATGGACAATCATGCCATGTTCTTGAAGAGGAAGACTCAATATTTTAAGAAAATCAATTACCTTCCAAATTAGTTTATAAATTCAATGCAATTCCTACGAAAATCTCAACCAGACTTTTTTTTGCAACTTGACAAGGGTATTTGAAAGTCTACCTGAAAAAGTACACGTGCAAGAAAATTTTGAAGAAAAAAAGAATAAAAAAGGCGAAATTAGCATACCAGATAGCAAAACATGCTACCAGGTTACAGTAACTAGCACAATGGGGTGTTCGCCATGGGAACAGCCAACAGATTAGTAACATAGGATAGAGCCTGGAACCAAACACAAGTAGAGGACATTGAGTGTTTATGATAAAACGACATTTCAACATAATGAAGAAAGGATGATCTATTCGACAACAAAAAAAAAAACTCACATGGTGGAATGTCTATCCACTGAAAAAATAAAATTAGATAGAATTAAGTATCATTTCAGATCAAAGAAATAAAATTTCAGCTGGATTAAACACGTACACGTAATAACCCAATCCACAAAAATGTTACAATACAAGTAAGAATATTTTTAGATCTTAGGTTGGGAAAGGCCTCCATAAACAGAAAATAAGTCTCAGAATTCGTAAAGAGAAAGCCCAATGGTTTGACTGTGTAAGAGCTATGTCACCTTGGAAAAACACTTACGACATGGATATCAGATGAAGCCTTACTAGCCTTCAAATGGTAAGAAAGACAAGAACTGGGCTAGAAAAATGAGCAAAAGAAATAAATGGGTAATAACCAGAATAAAAACAAATTGTCAATAACTGTTTGAAAAAAAATGCTCTGCTACACTAGCAATACAGAGAAATGCACATTAAGACACGGAGCTACCACTAGTCCCCACAAGACTGTGCAAAGTTTAAATGATTGACATCATAAGTGCAGACAATCATACGGGGTACCCCTTTTGACCCAGCAATTCCACTTCGAGGGATTTATTCTAAAGAAGTATTCACATGTGCTCAAAATTATGCACAGAGTTGTTCCTAATAGCATCTTTCATAATGAGGAAAAATGGGATGATATAAATGTCCAACACTAGCAGGACAGCTAAATGACATGTACACCATGTTGCAGAATATAATGCAGCCATGAAAAAAGGAGGTTGGTTTGCATGGTGACCTCTTTATTTCCCCTCTGTCATGCTTTTCTGCCCAGGCCCCTGTCTCCTCTGCATTCCTTGTCCCAAGGACACTCACCATTATGGAGCCAACCACAGGGCCTTTGATTACCCACCACAGAGCTGTGTTGTCATTCATGTCCCAGCAGCTGAAAGACAGAGAAAGAAGAGAGATTATGCTCAGGGCCCTAGCTCCATGGGTGGCACTCTCCCCTACTGCAGCTCTCTGAGGAGGGGCTGGTTGGGAGAACGCCCTGGCAGGCTGCAGACCCGAGCCCAGCCTGGTTCTTCAAATGCCTTGGTCCTTCCCTCTGCTCCCCTGTCAAAGCACGGATTGGAACCCAAGAGTCAGGGTTGCCAACGGGCTCCTGAGCAAGGGCCACGTTCCCCCCTTCACTTCTAGGGCTCTTGGGGGTGCCACTTCATCCTCGACATTCTTCCTCCCCTCCCTAAAAGGAAAACAGACACTCAGAGCCGGGCTCTGGAGCGGAGCCAGGCTCCGAAATGTTGCACATTCCCTCGCCGGGTTCCAGCTGAGATGTGGCTGTGTGGGCCCACCTGCAGTGGGGTCAGGGCTCAGTTGGTGCCCAGGGCTAGAGATGCAATCCAGGCCCGGCGTTGAATGGTCTCTCTGGGGCAGTTAACACGAAGTCAGGGCCGCCACTGAGAACCCATCCGTAAGAACCTACTAACCTACTAGTACGGGACTCCGGCCCTGGCTCTCAGGGATGTACTCACCCAGTGTCATCGAAGTAGAGCCTGAGCACAGCCCACACCGACACACACACAGTTGGGGTTCCTGAGAGAGTGAGAAAAGGAGCCCCGTGATAACAGTAAAACCAACAGGCCAGTGCCCCCCCTCAGATTTGGGGTTCCCAGGAGCCATCGTTCCCACTCAGACGTGGAGGTTCTGACCCATGGGGCATGTCTCCTCTCAGACTCTAACTGTCCCTCGCACCCAGGCCTCCTGGGGGTCCATGTCTCCTCCAGACCCAAGCTATCTCACCTCTAACGACTCCTGAGCACATCCTCCCTCAGTCTGTGGGCTTCCCACAAGCAGGAAGAGCAAGAAAGGGCCCAAGAAACAGGGGTGCGCCACCAGCTGGGGCAGGGAACGCCTCCCTCCTCTGACCCGGCACTCTCTGATGGCGGAACCAAGGACATACCTGGCCACAAGGCCTGAGCCTGCCCAGGCCACAGCCAGCGACCTACCCCAGCCAATAATGGTGTACCAGTAGAAGTATCTCCTCTCGGGGAAGAAGGTCTCCACCAGCAGGGTGAAGAGGTACAGGCCCTCAATGAACAGCCAGAAGTAGTTGGACACGACGCAGTAGTGGAAGAAAACCATTACGGCCTTGCATTCCACCTGCAGGGAGAGCCACGAGGGTGGAAACGTGAGCACCCCTTCCCAGGCCCGACTGAGACCTTAAAATCCAGCCAAGGAGGACCAGGGAGAATCCTGAGGGCCCTTCAGCTCCGGCGTGCTCGGGCTCAAACACCCCGTGGGTCTTAAAGACTCAACATTCCTGGATTCGAAGAGTTTAAAACTGCAGCATCCTACAGTTCTGAGTCGAAGCTGCCCGTGGAGGCAACTCTGCACATGTTGGAAGAGGACGGGGTGGGGGTGTGAGCATACAGCCCCCACCCAGGCTCACGCTCCCCCACTTTCCTGCCCTTTCCCCAGCCCCCACAGGTGAGCTGAGGAGGGAGGTCCCTGCTGGAGGCTCCTCGGTAAAATGAGGGTTTTAACATCACAAGGGTGGGGGGATACCCATGGCCCCCCAGAAATCTCATAGAGACCCCCACTAAGTGTGCCCCTCCCAGGTCAAGGCCCTGTGCTCTGCACTGTTCTTTCCATCCTACCCCATCAATTCCTATCTTCTCTGCTTACCTCCAAAGGTATGAGAATTGGGGATGGTCTGGGAAGAACACCAGCCAATCAGCCCCTCGGCTCTGTCGCAGGAGAGTTAAATGACCAGGGCCAGGCATGCCCTCGCTCTGACCCTAGTTTCCCCCTCAGTCAAGTGGACTCGACATTTCCACCTGACCTTCTGCTACTGCTCTGCCAGGTACACGTGCCGGCCAAGGGACGGAAGTGACATCATACAGGGGTCTCACTGGCTACTAGTAACCTGGTGGTCACTCCTGGATTTCCGTGTTCACTGGGGACAATGCCTTAACCTGCAGGAAAACACCCGGGTGGCGGGGTGTCGCAGGGAGGGCGAGTCCTGGCAGGGGGGGCTTTCAGCGGGGCCCGGCTCACTCACGGTGGAGACGAAGCAGTGGTTGCTGTCCTGCTCCGCATAGAGGATCCAGTCTTTGATGAAGACAGAGATGGCCCTCAGCATGAACGACACGAACAGGTTCATGTGGATGAAGTTGCGGGTGCAGTGCAGCTTCCTACACCAGGGGGCCGGCGCAGGGAGAGGCCTTAAGGCAATGAGCCCCACGGCACTCCAACCCTCCACTCCAGGCTCTGCTCTGGGCCAACCCCACGGCGTCTCCACGGGGTCTCCCATCTAGACCACCCTCCTCTTCCCACCTCTCTAAGTCCTCACTCACTTCCAGGCCCTGTTGCCTGGCCCCACTATCCACGTGGCCAGACTTCTCCCTCCTGTGACCTTTCTTCTATCTAGACCAGGAAGATAAAAGCGAAGAATGTAGGTCTCCTGCCCAGGGCCTGCCTTGCTGTGCGGCCCTGGACAAGCCCGTTGCCCTCTCTGGGGTCAAGTTTCCCATCTGCTATCCTAGGATTAGGGTAAATGCCGTCCTAGGGAGCTCCGGGGCTGGCATCCAGGGGAAGGAGTGGGATGGGAGGGACAGAGCAAGGGCTCTGAGCTGGGATGGGCTGCGCTCATTTGAACACTGCTGGGGTTCTCACCGGAAGCGACACAGGATGACCATGGCAGTGGTGAGGGTGACGAGGGATGTGCTGTAGCCAACTGTGTACAGGGCCTTCACCGACAGGTAGTAATAATCCTGGAGCAGAGCACAGACATGTGGGCTCCACATGGGGCCTGCACCCAGCCCCACTCGAAAGTGTCCCGGGCCAGGGCCTGCCCACGTCTGGGGCCACCACCCAACTCCTCCTTCCTCTCTTCTCCTCCTACTGATCTCACCTCCTCCACTCCCCCATCAATGTCTCCACCATCCAGACCCCCCAAACTGAACTGCTTACTCCCCTCTGCACACCTGCAGATGCTCAATGAATGCTTGCTAAAGGCAGGAGCACTGACCAATCATAGCAGGCACCTGCCTTGGCCTGGAGAAGGGTCCAGGAGGCCCCCCACCGGGCCCAGTATTCACCCTTCAGTTGCTGGGCCACAGGAAGGCTGGGGGTCCTGGAAAAGCAGCCAGGGAGGTGGGGGACATGTGGTGGGGGCTGGAGGAGCTCAGGCAGCAAACCCCTGCTTCTCAGCCCAGAATGAGTGAATGAAAGTCTTGCCCTCCGTGCATCTGGCTTGGGTACACAGCAGGTGCCCATGAATGCTGCCTAGGGACCTGAGTGTCCTGTAGTCCCATCAGGAGTCAAAGCCCCTGGTGGGAACACCCTTCCACCCACACCCTCAGCCCCACCCTCACCGCCTCCAGGTAGGGGGCAGACACTCACCTGGTCCCCAGTCTCAGATTCATATTCATCAAACCCACAAGCATCAAAATAATGAGGGAAGGGCTCCGACCAGCCATCCTCCGTGCAGTTCCGGCTCACCACCCTCATGTCTGCAGCAGAATGAAAACTTGGTGAGACACGGAAATGATTAAAGAAGGCTCTGAAATTCTTACTCGAAAATTACTTCTTAAGTGGGGTTTCCTGAAAACCCATATGCCCATCTGGGAAGCGTGGCGACCGAAGGTTCATGAAATCCTTCACTGTCTGAGGGAAAATAGTGACTGTTGGTGACCTCAAGCTGGGCCTTTACAAAGGACGCGGTGGGGGTAGGGGAGAAGGAGCAAGCTGATCTCTTAACAAGGGGTGAGGGGATGAACCAGGCTGAATGCAGCCTCCTTCCTTCTGGAACTGGCAAACACTCACCAGAGAAAGGCCCCCGCCCCAACCCGAGGCCCTAGGTTAGCACTTGTCAAACTTCAGTGAGCAGAATGACGACCTAGGATCACAAATGCAGATCCCAGCCCCCATCCCCACCCAGGGATACTGGTCCTCAGGTGACTGTGGGGCAGGAGGCCCCATCACACCTTGAGAAGCTCAGCTCCAGGTAATGCTTTCCTGGGAGCTCTCCCAGCAGCTGTAACATCCAGCACCAAGGGGCCACACGGCTTGCTTAATTAACAAGGACCAGATCTCCACTAACCCAGCACCAGATCTCATTAAGATATATATTTAGGTTTTGTTAAAATAACTTTTGCCTTTCCAGGTTTAGAGGGCCGTTTCCTGTCACTAATGTACTTTAATTTTCCTTTGATCAACTTTAAAGGCCATTTTGTGGGGCACTGGAGGGGGTGGGAATCATTTGCCGGCTGCAGAGCGGAGTCCAGGCTGGTCTTCACCCCGCCTAGGGCTGTTTTAGTCTTTAATGATTGCTCATTTCATCCTCCCCTCTCCTGATTGTCTGTAAGGGTGCGGATGTCCAGGGGTAGGAAGAAGGCAAGAAGCCCCCTCTGCCTCCAGGGCAGCATCTGAGTGTGGCCCCAGACTGACCTCTGTTCCAAGACTGGCTTCCTGGGAGTTTACCTGGTGTATTAGGACACATGGGGATGGTTCTTCCTCTCACAGGATTCAGGGGTCAGGAAACTGTACAAGAGGCATCTGCAGAAAAGGGGCTCCAGCATCTGTGTTGCTAGAAGAATGCCCCCTGGGACCAGGCCACCTCTGGGGAGCTCAGGAAGGAGGCAAAGGCAGAGGCCAAGACAGGGAACCCCTCCACTTTTCCAATCTCATGTCCTTGCCAGTTGAGTTGGAAGATCTAAGGCCAGTTCTTTTTAGCCAAGAGAGTCAAAAACCTCTTCCTGGGGCTTTGGAAGCAGCAGGGGTGAGTGATCCTGCCATAAAGAGAGCTCTGCCCAGGGCGGGGACACCGGTCTCCATCACTTCTCGGATTCTGAGTCCTGTGACACAGGACAAGCAGGACGTCTGGCAGGCCCAGGGAGAGAAGGAGTCACTTCTGTCCCACAGTTTGATGCCAAACTGCTCCTTCCAGCAAACCCATCTCAGGCTGCTACTGGCAACCTCCTTCTAAGTCCCTCTGAACACTTCTTTCAGAAAGTCTGCACGTCCCAGGGGATCACGGCCTCGGCCAAGCCTCATCCCTCCCTGGGCCTCATCTCCTCTCAGCTTTGCCCACATCACGGTGGTGAAAAGAGGAAAGGAAGCTGCTTTGAAAGACAATTTTTAAAAAAGTGTTCTAGAGGTAGAAGCCATTTCCTTTCTTTTATTTTCCTTCCTTCTCTTTTCCTTTATCTAACACAGTGTGGGCTCAGAGAAGTATAAACCTTTTTGTTCAGAACTATTCCATGAATTTGCCACTCTATTGTTCAGGTAGAAACCTCCGGAAGATGGAGTGCTCTCCAGATTGTCAAAACCCTGCAGTGACTGCGCCTACTTCACTAGGCTGTTCCTGCCCCAACGGCTTCCCGGGAGCACAGAATCTTAGGGCAGTGGTTCTCAGCGTGGGTGCCCTCCCTAGACCAGCCCATCAGCATCACCTGGGAGGCTGGCTAGAAATGCACATTCTCAGGCCCTACCCCAGTGCTACAAAACCAGAGGCTGTGGAGGTGGGGCCCAGAAACCTAAGTTTTTACAAGCCCCCTAGGTGACTGTCATCACAATTAAAGTTTGAGAACCACTACTCTACAACATGGGAGTTCAAATCTATCACGGCCACCTAACCCAGGAGTTCTTTACTTGGAGTCCACTTCAGGTAAAGATGGGGCTTCAAGAGATCTGCACTCCCCTAAAATTGTATGCACAATGTGCTGTTTGTGCCCTTGAGTGAGATTTTCTGTAGAGAAAATCTGCCGCTTTATCAGAGAAGGAGAGCGACCTGCCAGAGCTCACACAGCCGCAGAGAGGCATAGCCCATCCTGGAAGTGGGGTCTCCAACCCCACCCGTCAGCTGATGCCCTCCCTCCAGCCAACCCATGGCCAACCTCAGCTTGGCCCCTTACCTGAGAGATCCAAAGAGTTACTGTCAGTGAAATCAAACTCTCCTGCAAAACACAGACGTGGGCATGAGTCAGAACGCTCGCTCGTACATCGGCTGGCATCCATCCACTGTTTACTTCTCACCCCGGAAAGCCAAGGCTGCCCCTGGTCTGGAGGACAGCCAAGAGGCAGCACTGCCCACAGCAGCCGCACATCTTTCTGACACATGCCCCTTCTGGCGCCAGTGTCATTTGAATTTCTGTGATACCAATGATGGCCCATGACTCAGTTCTCCCCCTGGACCACAGGAAGTAGAAATGGGGCATCGTCAGGAGGATGGGAGGGCCTCGGGAGAGGGAGAGGAAGGGAAAAGGGTGATTGGGCCTTTTCAAGAAAAGGGCAAGGAACAGCAACATGCGTCCTGGGCTTGGGTTTCTTCTTTGGTATTCAACCCTCCATCTCAGCCCCCGAACTGCTCTCATCAAAGAGAACCCAGAACTCCAAAGACTTGATCTTCAGACATTTTTCTTTCTCTCCTGACTCTTTATTCTCATCTCCACCCTTTTCTTAAGCCAAATACCCTGCTAGCAATGAACCCCCATTTCCCCTCTACTTCTCAAAATCCTGTTTCCAAGGTCCAGCTGACATGTCACCTCCTCCAGGAAGTCTCCCTTAACCTCTTCACTATTCTGCCTGCATGCTGCACAGTTTGGTCTCCTCTGCTCCTGAGCTTCCTGTACATTCCAACTTCACGGCCACCGGGACGTCAGTATCTGTCTGGGCTCACATACACGTTCAGGCCTGCACGTTTGCACGTGCGTGTGCCTGTGCACACGGGTGGGCTTGTTTTCTAACCCTCATGGGTGAGTCTCGTCCTCCCAAACAAGCCCAGGAGCACCCTGAGGCCAAGGGCTGTGTCCTCCAACTTCCTGTGTCCCCCAACCTCCAGGATGGCCACGGTGGGGAGGCGGGAAGAGGGAAGAACCTGGTCCCTGATGAGCCTCTCATGCCACCCCCACCCATTCCCAGCAGTTAGAGATGGGCTCCCGCTGGACGGACAGAAGGACAGGCGAGCAGCAGTGTGTCCTCTCCAAGGTTCCTCTTACCAATGGTTTCTGTCTCCCAGGCTGAAACAGAGAAAGAGAGAGAAAGAAGGAAGAAGTGAGCAAGGGGGCTGAAGTTGGGTCTGCTCACACTGGGCCCTGCTGATTTCCTTCCTCTCCCCCTCCCCACTCCCAAACTCTGGAGAGGCTCTGCTGGGGGCCCAGAGGCATGAGGACTGCAAGGGGGGGACCCGCCAGACAGTGGAGGCTTCTACCTCTTCCTCCAGCACTGGACACAGTTAAAGAGAAACGAGCAGGGGCATCTGAGAGGAAGAGAGAGATCAGGGCTCCTGTATCTCCAATAACCTGCAAAGCATCAACTTTTACAATGGACGCCAGCTTCAGCCCTGGGAACCAAGAGACGAAAGGAGAAATGCCATTCTCAACTTTCTAAGTATTTAAGGCAAGTCTCACTAACCCAGCTTTGTGAACAGAGATGCTAAAAGGCCCTGCCTTAATGAGCCATTAAGAATCAGGTGAAAATAACACGTTCATTGTGCAATTGCCAGAGGAGGGATGGAGTCTGAAGGCAAGTTAATCTTAAGAAAACCTCATTTTACTGCTGATTCATTTCGCCTTTTTTTGTTGTTGAAAAGAAGCAGTCTTGCCATGGTGCTGACCTAGAGGAGATGCTCAATAAACTTTAAACATGTGACTGAATGAAAGGAGCACATGCATGGAGGAAGTGATTAAGCTGGTTTCTACAGGAGTGAATTCGAGATCGGGCTGAATCACTGGGCGCCGCCGTGCCTGACGCCCCACCGTTCACACTGTACCTCTTGCTGCAGCACTTGGCTCGTAGGTCTCCTCTTTCAAAATTCACTTCCTGTCCTCCTCTGGGTCCCACCCAGTCCCCAAGTTGTCAGATGGGAGAGTTTAACTGCCACCCTCCTCCTGGGCTGGCAGGAGGTCTGGAGGTGGGCGGTGCAGCTAACAGACCCCAGAAGGAGAAGAGGGGAGGTGAGGTGGGCTGCATCGTAGCTAAACCCTGCCTTCTCTGGTCTCAGGATGGGAGCCGGAGACAGGGGCCTGGCACCCCAACATCCTGCCACCATCTCCCTCTGCCACCTCCTGCAAGCACCTTCCCCCCCAGGCAGAGCCAAGGTTGACGGAGTTCCAGGTGAAAGAGAATTTGCCTTCGGCCTCTCACAGTGGAGTGAAACGTGGAAATTCTCCACTTCTAGAAGGACATGGGCCGAAGCCTTAGGCAAGTGAAGGAGGAAGCTGAGACCCGGGTCTCCACGGATCTGTGTATGGCCATACATGCGACTCAGGTCCCTCAGGAGTCCGCCCTCCATCCTCCTCGAATCAAGGCCCCAACCCAGCAGGGGGGAACCTCTGCCTGCAGGGTGCCCCGTGTCCTTAGTGCTTGTCTCCAGCAAGGCCTGGGGCCCGAGTGTGGGGAGCAGGCTGGACCTAAGCATGGCCTGAAGAGGCTCCAGGGGAAACCCACCTTGGTCCGGGTTGAAGATTCGGAAGAGTTCGGCGGGGCAGCTGACAAGGACCATCTCACCCACGTGGGCGGGCTTCCAACACGTGATGTTGTCCCACATCCCGGGGCAGCCTGTGGGGAAGAGAACCATGCTGAGAGGGGCCCCAGCCCTTACACACTCACACACACACACATGCAGGCATGCACACGTGCACACATACACATACATGAGCATGCGCGAACACACTCATGAGCCAGGCCCTTGCAGGAGGAGGGAGCAGTTTAAGGGGAGAGAAGGTGTTTGAGGCAGGGCTCAGCCCTGCCCCTGGAAGATCCTCAAAGAGGAGACATTTCAGGAGCTCCTGGGGTGGGAAGGGGGCCCTCATCTGATTTTACGTCAGCCCTACAGTCCCGGCAGGATTGTGGGGAAGGAAGAAGCAGGCCCAGCCCCCAGGCCAGGGCAGGATTCCTAAGAATGAGATACTGGGGGTCTTTGTGGCACTCCCCCCACATCACCACACACCAGCTCCTCGGCATCTCCAGGCTGCACCATCACTGTGGGGTCCAGCATCAGATCCACCTCTTCTGTGGGCCCTCCTTCCCCCTAGGTGGAGGGGCAGGAACTGGCTGGCCTGACGGAGCTGCCCATGGCCCCACCCACCTCTCAGGGCAGGCCTGGGACGGGGATGGCGTGGAGCTAGGACTTCAAGGAATAGCACAAATTGGCCAGTTGGGGAAAAGGGGAAAGCCATCCAGGCAGATGCCTGCAGGGCCAAGGCCCGGAACTGTGGAAGGACTCGGAGCACGAAGAGACAGGAGGCAAGGACCACTTGGGAGCCCAGTGCAGTGGGGAGGCACAGGCCCCAGTCAGGTGAATGCCAAGGGAGGCGGAGGGAGCAAGGACAAACTGAGAGGTATTCAGGGGGTATCAAGACTGGAGCCTCATTGGATGCAAGCCATGAGGAGGAGGAAGATGCTGAGCTTGACGACCAGATTTTCAGACGTGGGGGCTCCATGGACCCTCCGACCGCCATGCACTCTCTCTCCTTCAGGCCCATTCCAGCCTCTCTGTGGAGCTCTGCATCCCTCGTCGCCACCTCCTCACCTCCCCTTCATGCTTCACTCCTTCCTCTGACTCTATCCCTCCTCTCCACTGAAACGCTTCTCTCCTGGGCCACCAGTGACCTTGCTCTTCACCCTCACTGACGGGGCCCCGCCCTGCCCACCCTGACTGAACGCAGGTGCTGGGGGCTGCCCTGCCCTCGGACCCTTGCCGCACTCACCTTGAACGAAATCACTCAGCCCACGGACGTAAGGACAGAATGACACACAGACAACTCCAACCCCATGGCCAGCTGCCTGCCAGATATCCGTGCCTTTAAGGGCCAAAGACAGTCCCAACACAGCGTGTCCAAGACTCGACTCGGCATCTCCTACTAAAACCCAATTTCCTGTCTCAGCCCAGCTAGAAACCTGGAGTCACCCTTGCTTTGTCTCCACCTCCTCCACGCTCCATATCCAATCAGCCACGAAGTCCTGCTGGTGTGACCTCCAAGTATTTGTGAAACCCATGCACTGCTGTCCATCCCACACCCCCACCTAGCTCAAGGCTAACCATCTTTCACCGGGAACATGGTTGCAGCCTCCCCAGTGGTCTCCTCACCCGACCCCACACAGCTGTGACCATGATCTCTTCAAAAGGAAGACCTGGCCAGGTTGTACAGCCCACCACCCCCAGTGAACACCTTGCAGTGGTCCTGTCACCTCAATTTCTTAAAATGGTCCCCAGGGCCCGGCCCTCACCTTAAACTCAGGCACATGGGGAGCGGGTAAGGCCACAGGATGAGAGTTCACCCAGGGAAAGGAAACGAAGTGAGAAGAGGATGGAGGAGGGAACCCCGGGGACCCCCATATTTATGGGGTGGGCAGAGGAAGTGCATGTCGTGATGGAATCGAGAGAAAGGGGCCAAGGGGTATGAGGGGGGCAGCAGTGTGAATGTCCGACAGCAGAGTGCAGTTTCAGGAAAGCCACCGCACCCTGCTGAGCCGTCTACAAAGACGAGCTTCAGAGAGGGCCTCTCTGCCAGAGAAGAGACAGCCAGCGGGTGACCGACAGCCTCCCACCACACGGGGCTGCGGTGAGGATTAATGAGTTCATACATGTAAAGCTCTCAGAAGAACGCTGGGCTCCCTCAACGCATGTTCGCTGTTGTATTAAAATTAATTTCATCATTTCAATTAGGTGTCCCTGGGAATCATTCCCCTGAGAGAAGCCCAGGCGGGAGACGAAACAGAGCCCCGCAAGGTGAGAAGGAAGGCCAGTGGGGGCCGCCGACGGGTCACGGGGGGAAGCCTGGGCAGGTGCCAGGGAAGGGGACCTGGGGCAGCCTCATGAGCTCACAGCCTCTCTGCTGGGGTCCATGACCCACTTGTGGGTGCTGTCTGGACCAGAAGGCACCCACGGCTTCTGGGTGCAGAAAACCTTGTCTCTCAGAATTCAGACCTGGCTATTCTGGAATTCACACCCAGTTACATTGGCCTTTAGCATCCTGCTCCCAAGATGACCGAGTTTGGGAGCTGGAAGCACCATAGAAAGCTCTGAAGACAACAAATCAAGAAGGTGAAGACCCTGGGGGCCACAAGGGGGGAGCCAAGTCCCAGGTCTCACAGCAACAGGCCTGTTATTGATGATCCCTGTCCATCCATCACAGCAGGATATCCAGCCAGCACACGACTCGTTATGACATCACGGACTTGAAAGAGACCCAGCCACACATCTTTAGCTGCCGTGGCCGCGTTGGCTGTGGAACGGTGTGCAGTGTGGCCGTGCCTGGCCCATGCCCTGGGAGCCCCAGCCAACAGCTGTTCCCTTAATGTGGAACATTAGGCCCTGGCACAGCCAGCTGCTACCACCAGCTGATGTTCCTGAGGTCCCAGGGCACGTCAGATAGAGGGAGCACAGTCACGAGGGCTGAGGGACGGGAGGGACACAGGGCTCAGGTGGGATGGCACGAAGGGAGAAGGGGCTCCCAGGTGTGAGGCCAGAGGCACAGAGGCAGGGCAGGGGCTTCATCCTCTTAACAACTGTTTACTGAGCGTCAACCCACCAGGCCCAGGGCTACAGTGGTGGAGAAAACACACTGAGAAGGGCAGAGGGAGGGAAAGGCAGGGTGTCCCCTCAGCACCTGCATGGCAGCCACAGGACTTGAGTTTTGTTGACTTCTGCACGTCTCTGCCAAGTCTCTACTCCTCCGCCCTGACTCAGTTTCCCTATGTGCACAGTGAGGGTTGGGTGTCTCCAGGGTTACTCCCGACTCCGAGTGACCAGAGCTCCAATCTGGAACAGAGATTCACTCAGGACCTGCTGGTGCCCAGGAGGATGGCTGGGGAGGCTGGAACTGCCTTCCCTGTCCCCACTGCCAAGACCAACATCTCTCCAGGGGCATCTGCCAAGGTCCCACCACCCCACCCCCATGGCCTGCCACACTCTGGAAACTCTCCTGGTGCCTCCTTAGGTTCCCAGCTGGGGTCCCTTCCAGAGACTAAGGGTCCTGGGGCAATTCTTGCAGCACCAGGGCAGGTGGAAAGCCAAGAACTAGAAGCCCCAACTCCAGGGCCCAATCCCAGTGTCTGGGTTTAGGAACTGGGACACTGTAATATAATAAGAATTATATATTTGGTCTTCGTCCCATGTTCCAGACGCAGAGATCCTAAAAGCCTTGAAATTTCCTGAGTGATGGAGTGAGAGCAGCATCTTCTGTTATTCATAAGCCCCTTTCGGCCTACGTGCGTTTACGCCAATGAAGTGACTCTGGAGGATGGGACTGGTTCCCAGAGGAACCAATCATGTGATTAGAGGGTGGGAACTTTCAGCCCCACCCCTCAACCTATGGTATGGGAGGCAGGCTGGAAATCGAGTTAATCTTTAACGGCCAATAACTTAATCAATCACGCCTACATAACGGAACCTCCAAAATAAACCTAAACAATGGGGTTCAGAGAGCTTCTTGGTTGGTGAACACATGCACGTGCCAGGAGGGTGGTGCACCCCACTCCACGGAGACAGAAGCTCCTGCACTTGGGATCCGTCTGGACCTCACCTTATGTACCTCTTCATCTGGCTGTTCATTTATATCATTTATGATATCCTTTATTGTAAACTGGTAAATGTGTTTCCCTGAGTTCTGTGAGCCATTATAGCAAATTATTAAAGATGAGGAGGAGGTCATGGGAACCTCTGATTTGTAGCCAAGTCAGACAGAAGTGTGGGTAACCTGGGGACCCATGACTTGCGACTGGCATCTGAAGTAGGAGGGCAGTCTTGTGAGACTGTGCTCCTAATCTGTAGGGTCTGTGCTAACTCCAGGTAGTGTCAGAATTGAATTAAATTGTAGGGACATCCAGTTGGTGTCCGCAGAAAATTGGACTATTGTTTGGTGTTGTGAGTAAAGAAGCAGTTTGCCTTTAGGGAACAATGTACCTGACTCTGTGGGGAGCTCACACCCTCCACCCACCCCTCTGGCCTGCATCACGGGGGTCACAGGAGACTCAGGCCACCTCCTCAAGGCTTCCCAGAATGCCCCTCGCACATCTCTCCTGCAGTTATCACCTCCCAGCCTGACCCGCACAGGAAGAGCCACGCGCTCTCTCCTTTCTCATTCTTGATGGGACCTGCTCTGGCCTCAGGGGCCTGGGAGCCGAATCCTCCCAGGGACCCTTTCCAGAGAGACGAGGACAGGATTTGGGCTCCTGAGAGAGCCTGCAGTTTGTCTAACTAAGGACAGCAACTCATTTTCCTTCCACACCCACGGAATACGTCCAGCTTCTCTGTCCCCACCTGTTCCAGACTCCAGGCCCAACAAAGCTGAGTTTCGTTGGGACTAAAGATTTCAAGACGCCTTTTCTCCCTCTCCTCCCTGTCCTCCTTTACCCTTCTTTTCTTCTCACTTTCCCCTTCCATCCCTCTTATTCACTCATTTATTCTAGAAATATTAAGTGCCTATTTGAGTCAGACGCTGCAGAGCAATACTGGAGTGAATACAACAGCCCAGTCTCTGCCTGCACAGAGCTTATCGTCCCAGGGTCGCGTGACAGATTTTGGATTTTCTGCTAAATGCTGAGAAGCCCTGGGA